GAATAATCTGGAATAAGATGTTTTAAGAGCAGACCAGAGAGAATGAATTCCAGAAATGTTAAAAAAGAAGTATTCATTGACTGCCATTGAAATATATTTTTAAACATAAATTTGTAGAATAAGTAAATACAGTAGATGAAATTTGGGAAAAGGAAAAGGAAAAGTGAAAAATGTATTCATCAGTAAAATTATGTGTCAATAATACACCAAATAATCATATATTATGAGGAGTCTAAAATATTCCCCCAAATTCCACAAGTATATGATTCAATTTTTCAGACACTAAGGCTAACTTTTCGTCAGGATGTTGAACACTACTGGCATGACACAAAAATGATATTCTTTTTCTTCACTCTTTCCTTCTCTCTAAATCTTCCCTCTACAATATGGGCAACTATCCCTAAACTCCACATTCCCACACCATATTTCTACCAAGCCCATCCCTTCCTGCAGATAGCCAAACATAAACTGAATAATCTGAAATCAGGGAGTGAATTTTTTTTTTCTCCTTCAGGTAGCAGGTATTGGATATTTCATTCTAGCAAAAGGCAAGAGGTTAAAACATCATAAATCAGCTAATAAAATACAATAAAATGAATAAGAAATGAAAAATGAAAAAAATTAAAGTTGTATAGTACAAAAAGATGAAATAATTATATGAAAAATGAGACCACTGAAATCCAGGAAAAATAGAATAGTAAAGAAAACAAAGCACAGGGAAACAAATTAAAAATACCTAGTAATACAAGTCATCAGACAATAAATATTCTTGTTCATTTACTTGATATATGCTTATGAATAGGAAAAAAGGTTTGCTGATTGTTTTGTAGAAAAACTATATCCCTACCAAAGGTTATCTAAGATGGAAAATGCACAGACAATTTTTACTTTGATAACCTATGAATACTCACTAGACAAGCACTTGACAAATTGCTAAATATTCTAAAGCATTAAGATGTAATAGTGTTTTCTTTCAAAAAATTCTCCACAATCCATTTAATCAGTCAGCATATTAAAGTTAATTATTTCAAAAATATTAAGCACTGTGCATGTGACCGATGAAACAATGAACAAAATGGACTCAGCCTTTTCCTCATTGAGTTTCCAATCTATTAGGAAAGGACAGCCTCTAAGTAATGCAAAAATGGAAGTGCAGATTGCTATGAATCCACATAAGACAGATGCTTAATCCAGCTTAGTGAAGCAGTAAAAAGATTATTGAAGCAGTAATAGCTAGGCTACATACCATTTGGAAGTGAATAAATTGCTTAGTCTGCAGAATAGTCTTGCAGTACCTCACTGAACTGCTGGTCTAAAGCCTGCTTTTGGGGGGGTAGGTATTTCTTTTCCTTTTTCTTTTTCTTTTCTTTTGTTGTGAAAGGACAAAAAGCTTTGTGGCTGAAAGGAGCAAGAATTTATGTTCATTGCAAAACTTGACAATTTGATCTTAATACAAAGACCTGGTTTATACCTGCTGTATACTGTCTCCAATATTCTTGTACACAAAACTTGTATCTCATCTGAAATGTGTGAAGAAGCTGTTGCAGTTCATATTATTAGGTATCTGGTCTCATATCCTCACACAATCCCCCATCCTAAAATTTTAACATGATTTTAACATGAAAATCATACACCAAGAAAGTAAAAGTTTCAAGCTTTTTAAGCTCTTGAATGATCTCATTTCTACTACATTTAATTGACAAAATTTACAAAAGTAACAGAGACAAAGAATACAAACAGACTAAACTATAGACTGGAACAGTTGAATACATTGGCTATTCAATAGCTACTTTGTGAAAGAAGGAAAGATAATTTGTGCAAAAATCATTTTTCATATGAATATGCTATGGTTTAAATATGGATAATGTAACTTCATAGACTCTATGTTAAAAGTTTGGTCCCCAGAGTAGTGATATTGAGATTATGTGGCTCGTTAAGATTTGGAGAGTTCAGAAAAGTCCTTAAGTCATTAGCAGCATTTCCTCAAGTGGGACTGGGGTTCTGAGTCACTATTTAATTCATGACTTGAAGTTGTAGGACTCATTTTACTACACATTCTGGATTTTAGGTGCCACATCACTAATGGTCAAAAGCAGTGGATTTGCCCAGTTTTAGATTTGAACATGAAAACTATAAGCTAAGTAAAATTTGTTTCCTTTATCAGTAGACAATATAAAGTATACTGTTAGACTACCCCAATTTTTTCCAAATAAAGTTACCTAATGTATACAAGCTTTTAGTGCTATTTGATAAGCTAACAAAATTTCCCTAGTTTCTCCTCTTTTCTGCTTGTGCACATAACAATTTCATATTTTTTTCTTAAATCTTACTTTCTGATCCGGCCTGCGGATCAATCTGTGGGCCTTGTCTGGAAAGAAGACGGGGATGGGGGCTGGGCAAGAGGAAAGAGAGAGGAGGACAAGTTGACCAATTCCAATCAAGTCCCATTTATTCAGGAAGTGTTCATGGCTTATATAAAGTCCAAGGGAATGTGGCTTTATAGGATAGGTCAGCTTGGATCCAGAGCCCCATGCTCCTTCAATCATTGGTAGCACAAAAAAAAAAAAAAAAAAAAAAAAAAGAATACTAGCTTGAATATCATTTGACACATCCATACTTCTATCCTAAATCAAATAATGCTTAAATTCAACCAAACTTAACTGATATGTTAACTTTTCCCTGTTTGTGGACATAGGGGGAAGAGCAAACTGGTCAATACTGGCTGGAGTACAAATAGGAATGAAAATATGGTTTACTCTTGCATTTTGCATGTATGCAATGTTATTTCTCTCTTTCTTTGCTATTTCTTTTTCTATTTCAATTTGGCATCACTATGAGAAATGTTACTATATGTAAAAAGAAGAATACAAAGTACCTCCTTTAGATACGTATTATAATCATGGGCATATCAGTTTAAACCATATCAAATATTGTACATGGGGGGTGCAAAAACAGGATTTCTATCAGTATATTAATTAGTTCCAACCTACTTACACTTTTCTCAGTTTCTAGTTATATGTGATTACTTTCTATTTTTTCCATCACTGCAATGAGCATCTAAAACAACCATCTACAAGCCCTCCATTTCTAATATAAATATAGCATGAATAATCTTATTTTTATTTCATTTGATTTTATATTTGTTTCCTGATTTCTAAATTATTCCCTTAATTTTCTTAATCCTTTTTCCTTGCTATTTTCAAAACAAAGGTTTCTTTTTGTTATTCCAATATAAAAGGTTTTCTAAATTATTGAAAAAAATGGTTCATACATTAAAATCAATTTTCACACTATATGATCAATATATCACTGATTTCATAGATGCTAATGTTATTGCTAGTGTTCTCTTCTTGCAACTTAAAGACAGAGATTTATCCCATTAAACTTAGTAGGATAAACAGTTGTATAATAACAAACATAAAAAATGAAAAGGTAAAATTACAGGGAAACATATGATTACAGTGGTTGTCCACAGTACTAGCAGAGTTTTTTCACCTTAACTGATCCACAACTCTCATAACAAAATCTATAGAAACACAGGCAAACAAATAAACCAGAAGCCTCCACAATTCTTGCCTCCCAAAAAACTAATAGGTACTAAAGTGCAGGGTGTCACATGCAAAGAAATAACAAACCATGATTAAAAACTGAAGAAAGAAAACAACACATAACTGCATTAAATTTCCAATGAACACAAAGAGGATATAAATAAATAAAAATTTTCATTGATTAAATATTCATTGACCTTTAAGATTAGAAGTGAAAACCATACCATCCCCTAGGCAACACAGACGCAAGTAAGTAGGTCTGAACTGGGTGTAATGAACATTCACCAAACCAAGCCAGCACTTCACCTTGCTTCCCCTAGACATTGGGCAGCAGAGGCGTGAGTTGGTCAAATTACCTGATCCAAGATGAAGACAATACCTGAGGAGAGAAGGAAACAACCAGACTATGTGAATACCAACATTAAGTAAAACATTCCACTTGAATACCACCCCCACAGCCTACAGAAAGGAGAGACCAGAGGGCTGAAAGTGTTTCCAGTCCACTGAATGAACAAAGAAACACCCTAGTTTTGGTGGTAACAATTACTGGAGTGAAATACACAAAGATTTATTGTTGACATGATATCTTTCTACTGTTGCATCTTTATATTTCCATTCTGTTTGTCTGCCTTGCTTAGTGGCTTTTTCTTTGTGTATCTAGACTGTCTTTCAGTATTCTTTGCAGGTTTGGTTTTATGTAACAGTCATAACCATTAATGTAAATGGTGTCAATTCACCAATTAAAAGAAACATACCAGCTGAATGGATCAAGAAACAACATCTAAACATATTCTGTCTACAAGAAACTCATCTAATCCAAAAGGAAAGTCACAGACTGAAAGTCAAAGGTTGGAAAATAACCTAATACCTACCTACTAGTTAGGAAGAAACTTCAAGAGGAAGAGATAACAATCTTAAATATATATGCACCAAATTCCAGAGCACCCAATTATACAAAGCTAGTATTAATAGAAATGAAAAACCAAATTATAAGTAACACAATTATAACAGGAGACCTTAACATACCATTGACACCAAGGGATAGATCAACCAGACAGAATATCAGCAAAGAAATAACAGAACAGAATAAGAATCACACCTGTGAACAAATGGATTTGATAAACATATAGAGAGTTTTCCATCCAACAACATCAGAATATACATTCTTCTCAACAGTACATGGGACATTCTCTAAAACAGACCATATACTAGCCCATAGAATATATTTCAGTAAATGCAAAAGAGGTGAAAGTATCCCATGCATGTTATCAGATTAGAGCTCCATGAAACTAGAAATTAATGATAAAAAACTGAAAAAAAACCCCACAAACACATGGAAATTGAATAATACAATAATAATCAATCAGAGGGTCACAGGGAAAATTAAAGAAGAATTTAAACAATATCTACGAAAAAGCTCAGCTGGCGGGCGCAGCATGGAGCTGACTTGGCTGCCCTCTTCTCTTCTCAAGGTTGCTTTTTGCTTCAGGAGAAAATAATGGCTTCTGTTGCAGTTGATCTACAACCAAGTGTGGTGGTAAGGGTGGTCAGCCTGCCCTTGGTGAGTTCCACTTATGATCTGGTGTCCTCAGCCTATATCAGCACGAAGGATCAGCACCCCTAACTGAAGTCTGTGTGTGAGATGGCTGAGCAGGGTGTGAAGACCATGACCTCAGTGGCCATGATCAGTGTTCTGCCCATTATGCAGAAGCTAGAGCCACAAATTGCAGTTGCCAATACTTATGCCTGTACGGGGCTAGACAGGATTGAGGAGAGACTGCCCATTTTGAACCAGCCAACAACCCAGGTTGTCACCAGTGCCAAAGGTGCCATGACCAGGGCAAGAGATGCTGTGACAAAGACTGTGACTGGGGCGAAGAGTTCCGTGGCCAGCACAATCACAGGGGTGATGGACAAAACCAAGGGAGCAGTGACTGACAATGTGGAGAAGACCAAGTCCATGGTTAATGGCGGCATTAACACAGTTCTGGGGAGTCGGATGAGGCAGTTTATGTGCAGTGGAGTAGAAAATGAACTTAGCAAATCACAGATGCTGGTAGACCAGTACCTTCCTCTCACGGAGGAAGAGCTAGAAAAAGAAGCAAAAAAAAGTAGAAGGATTTGATGTGGTTCAGAAGCCAAGTTACTATGTTAGACTGGGGTCCCTGTCCAGCAAGCTCTGCTCCCGGGCCTACCAGCAGGCATTCAGAAGGGTTAAAGACACCAAGCAGAAAAGCCAAGAGACCATTGCTCAGCTCCACTCTACTGTCCACCTGATTGAATATGCCAGGAAGAATGTGCATAGCGCCAACCAGAAAATTCAGGACGCACAGGATAAGCTCTATCTCTCATGGGTGGAGTGGAAGAGAAGCATTGGCCATGATGACACTGATGAGTCCCACTGTGCTGAGCACATCGAGTCACATATTCTTGTCATTGCCCACAACCTGGCTCAGCAGCTGCAGACCACACGCCACACCCTGCTGTCCAGTGTCCAAGGGTTACCGCAGAACATCCAGGATCAGGCCAAGCACTTGGGGGTGATGGCTGGTGACATCTACTCCATTTTCCACAATGCTGCCTCCTTTACAGAAGTGTCTGACAACCTCCTAACTTCTAGCAAAGGGCAGCTGCAGAGAATGAAGGAATCTTTAGATGATGTGATGGATTATCTTGTTAACAACACACCCCTCAGCTGGCTGGTAGGTCCCTTTTACCCTCAGCTGACTCAGTCTCAGAATGCTCAGAACGAAGATACAGAATTAGACAGGACCAGCCAGAATTCTGAGCAGAGAGCTCATTAACCCTGTCCTTGTCACCAGTGCTCAATGCAGCTATCCAGCTGACACCTTTTGTTACATGAGAGTTAACCTGATAGCTGACTCCTAGGTGGGAAATTAGATAACTAGGAAAAGGGTCTTCGGTTGTGATTCTTGCCAGATGGATTAAGAGCTTTAAACTTTCTGGCATTAGCAGGTAAATTCTGTTTGTTGCATGTTAGCTTTGCCAGAGCCTGGCCAGAACTCAGTTCAAGTCTCATTTTATGGTCATTGTGTTGCTACTGTGACTGTATAAATAAAAATACCTTCTTGTGGACTGTGTATAAACTGGTGATTGCTAAGTGGGCTTCCTCATTGCTTATCTAATGATGCATGCTTGTACAACTTGATTTTAGATTTTTAGTCCTTAAAGGAACACTGCCTTTGAACTCAATAAAATAGCAAGTAGATAAAAAAATAAACAATATCTACAAGCAAATGAAAATACAAATACAAGTTGCCAGAATCTGTGGGCTACAATGAAAGCAGTACTCAGAGGAAAATTCATTGCACTGAGTCTCCATATCAGGGAAACAGAATGAATACAAATAAATAACCTCATGCTACACCTCAAACATCTAGAAAAGAAGAGCAAGTCAAGCCCAAAGCCAAGGAAGGGAGGGAATTATAAAAATCAGAGCAGAAATTAATGTCATAGAGACTAAAAAAAAAAGGAATCAATGAATCAAAGAGTTGGTTGTTTTAAAGAATAAATAAAATTGATAAGGCCTTAGCAAGCCTTATTTTTAAAAAAAGGGAAGAAAAAACTCCAGCTCATGCAATAAGGAATGAAAAAGGTGAAATCAAGACAGACACTGTGGAAATAAGAATCATCATCAACAACTATTTCAAAAAACCCGATACTCATAGGTTCGATAACTGGATTAAGAAGATGTCAAACTGCAGAATAACCCAAGTTCTATTAATGAAATTGATAATGTAATTAAGTCTTTACCTACAAAGAAGAGCCCAGGCTCAGATGGATTCACTGCAGAATTCTACAGGAAGTACAAAGAACACTTAATGCCAACACTCCTCAAACTCTTCAATGAAATTGAAAGGGAAGCAATCTTTCCTAAGACATTCCTGGAAGCAAATATTATTCCAGGAACAAAACCTGAAAAAGACCCAACTAAAAAAGAGAACTACCAGCCAGTCTCCCTAATGAACACAGATGCAAAAAATCCTCAATAAAATATTGGCAAACAGGATGCAGCAAATATCAAGAAGATTATACACCATGACCAAGTGGGATTCATCCCAGGCATGCAGGGATGGTTCAGCACATGTAAATCAATAAATGTAATTCACCATATCAATACAGCCAAAATTAAGAATCACATTATCATTTATATAGATGCAGAAAAAGCTCTTGATAAGGTCCAACACTCATTTCTTCTAAAAACATTACAGAAAATTGAAATAGATGGTCTTTACCTCAATACAATAAAGGCCATCGATGACAAACCAACAGCTAGCACCATATTAAATGGCCAAAAACTGAAGAACTTTACATTAAAATCAGGCACAAGAAAGGATGCTTTTATCACCACTCTTATTCAACATAGTACTGGAAATATTAGCCAGAGCAATTATACAAGAGAGAGAAATAAAAGGTGTAAAGATAGGAAAAGAGGAAGTCAAAGTATCATTATTTGCAAATGACATGAAACTCTATATAGAAGATCCCCAAAACTCCATCGAAAGACTCCTAGATACAATAAATAAATTCAGCAATGCAGCTGGATACAAAATACTTAAAATCAATAGCATTTCTATACACTAACAACACAATCACTGAAATGGAAATAAGAGAATCCAGACCCTTCACACTAGCATCCAAGAAAAATGAAATAATTAGGAATTAAAAGTAACAGATCCATACAGGGAAAATTATAATACCCTGAAAAAGTAACAGATCTATGCAGTGACAATTATGTTACCCTTAAAAATAAATTGAAGAGAATCTCAGAAAATGGAGAGACATCCCTCATTCATGGATAGGAAGAATAAATATTGTGAAAATGGCCATTCTCCAAAAATGTTATACAGATTCAATGCAATCCGAATGAAAACACCATTAACATACCTCAGAGATCTAGAGAAATCAGTCCTAAAATTCATATGGAATCAGAAGAGACCTAGAATAGCAAAGTCAATTCCAAGCAGCAAAGGCAAGGCAGTATGCATCACAATCCCTGATCTGAAGTTATACTAAAAAGCTGTAATAAAATCAACATGGTACTAGAATAAAAACGGATCTGAAGATCAATGGAATAGATTAGAAAACACAACCACAACTAACAACACACTCAAATACCTTATCTTTGTTAAAGGGTCCAAACATGTTCACTGGAAGGACAGTCTTTTTAATAAATGGTGCTAGAAAAATTGGAGCTCCATATGCCAAAAACTAAAACTAGACCTATGGCTCTCACCATGTGCTAAACTAAAATTGAAATGGATCAGAGATCTGAATATTAAAACAGAAACACTGAATCTGTTGGAAGACAAATTAGGTAAAAATCTTGAAGACCCAGGGGTACATAGAAAATTCATGAATAGGAATCAAACCACACAGGAAATACTTCCCAGAATCAATACCTGGGATCATATTTATTAAACCGATTCTGCATGTTAAAACAAATCTCCAGAGTGGTGAAAAGAAAACCCACAAACTGGGAAACGAAATCTTAGTGAACTGTCACTCGGACAAAGGACTTCTGTGTAAAACATATAAAGAATTTTAAATATCAGACACCCGAAATTCAAAGATCAAATCCAAAAATGGGCATATGAGATGGATACGCAGTTCTCAGATGAAGAAATACAAATGGCAAATAAAATACATAAAAAGTGCTCATCATCATTAATCATTAGAGAACTCCAAATTAAAACCACAGTAAGATTGCATTTCACTTCAGAAATAATGGCCAGGTTCAAGATAACTTCCAAAAACAAATGCTAGAGAGGCTGTGGGGGAAAAGGAACTCTCCTGCACTGTTGGTGGGAGTGTAGACTGGTGCAACCACAGTGGAGGTCTGTCTGGAGATTCCTCACAAAGCTAGTATTGGAAGTCCAGTTCAACCCAGATATTCCACTTCTAGGCATATTCCCAGAAAAACTGAATATATCATACCACTGTTATATATATATATATATATATATATATATATATATATATATATACCCACGTTTATAACAGCACAATTTGTAATAGCCAGCTCTTGGAAACAACCTATGTGCCCATCAACAGAGCAACTGATTTAAAAAGTTATGGCATTTTTATACAATGGAGTACTATTCAGCTATAAAGAATGTTCACACTGAGATATTTATAAATAAATGCACGCAACTTCAGACCATACTCATAAGCAAAATAAATTAAACTCACATGTATTAATTCCATATAGTCTCCCTGGTGTAAGAAATGGTAAGTGTATATACAAGTTTATGGTAATCATAATTCCCCATTACATTGCTTTGAAGCCTTATAGTGTTTTCATTCATTAGCTGGAAAGGTTTTATCCTGGTTTGTTTGATGTATTATCTGTGATGGAATAAGCAGCTATTTTGAATAAAACAAGACATTATAAAAGCCAGTGCTGATTTAATAGCATCTTACTTTGAAGTCTTACCATGCCTTTGTTCTTCTTTTATGATTGGTTCTATTATGTTGTACCTTATTGGATTTTATTCTGTGTGATAGTACAAACAATTTTTATGGGTAATGAGATAATATAGTAGTCATTGTTCATTTTCTGTTATTTGTTTCTGAATGTCCTGTAATACTTTCATTCTCTTGAATGGTTTTATACTATTTTGTTATATTTGATACTATTGGATGTGAAGGTATGCTCAACTATTTCAAAGAAAGAGATAATATGGTAGCTACTGTTATATTAGGTTGTTTTGTGGTGAAATACTGTGCTGCTTAAATTTTTCAGTTTTGATCTGATTTGTTATGTCCTCTTTTTCTTAATATCTTTAACATAAAAATTAAAAAAAGAGAAATACACAATGAGCTGTGGTTCATTAAGGACACTTCAAAAACTCACAGTCTTAAAACCTAGGTGGAGAAAAGTAGAACTGGCTGGATTGTATGACTGTGCACCTTGGAAATAAACTACTCATTCAAAAACAGAGAAATTGTTCTTTGACTCAGTGTAAATTTTATTTTCTTAATTTTAATTAGTTTTCCTTCTTTGTGTTTTAGTACTAGTTGGCACTTTTATTCCCGTTTTAAATTAATTAAGTATATTGTTACATTTTATATATATATATATATATATATATATATATATATATAAATAACATTTATATTTTTCAAAGGAGCTTGAACCTGTATATGATATACCTTCCTACTTCCTTTATTCCTGTTCACCCTATTGCCCCTTAAATATTTCCTCTAATTTATAAAAGCTTTGCTTTCATTTTTCCTCATTTTATTTTCCCTTCTTTCCTTTCCCCCTCTGACCTTCCTACTTCACATTTCCATTTGAAAAATTTCTTCCAATTTTGCAGTATCTATTGTTCATTTTGGTCCTTATTTCCCCTTTGGTTTCTTCACATCGGGGAAACAATGTTTCTTTTAAATTTGTGTGTCAGATTTATTTCCCATGAAAGCATATTTCTGAGGTCCAACTATTATCTAGAAATGTCTCGTTTATCATTTTTTTAGATTGAGTAGTACTCCATTGTATTAAAAAAAAAACAAAAAAAAAAAAAAACAAAAAACTACAACTTCTTTAACCACTCATCTGTTAATGGGCACTTGGGCTGTTTCCAGGAATCTGCTATTACAAAATTTGCTGCTATAAACATGGATTTGCACATACAAGTGTAATATGATGCTTTTAATACTTTAAGAAATGTACAAAGGAGATGAAAAGGTGGGTCAAATGGAACATCGAGTTTCAGTCTTTTGAGGAATTGTTACACTGATTGGCAAACTGGTTGCACCAAAGAATCAAAAACATAGGCTGCTGAAAGTCTCTAACAAATGATGCTCAGAATACTGGTTATTCACATATATAGACTTCTAGATGTAATAACGAAATTCAGTAATGTAGCTGGGCAAAAATCAACACTCAGAAATCAATAGTTTTCCACTGAGTGGGAAATGACAAAATATCCCTGTCAAAGTGGAACCCAAATTAGAGAAATAC